GATGACCTGGGTGCTCACTGATGCTCTTCCTACTTAAGAACCATCCTTCAAGCAGGGGTCTGGTGGAGATCACAGCTGGAATGTCGCCCCAAGGTACAGCTTACAGCAGACAAGGTGGTTCTGAGCAGGAGAGTGTCTGCTGGAGGAGAAGTGATGGCATGGCTGGGAGTGGGAATGCTGTTGGAGGGAGCCGCGTTTTGCACATGCTGAAGCACAGCCGTGGCAGGGAGTGGGCAAGATGGTGATGGATTAATGTGATAATTTATCTTTCGGGATTAATGTTCATCTTCGAAGCACTGGAGGTAGTGTGCTGGTGGTGTGGCAGGAGCAGGGAGGGTTGGGGCAGCCCCACCTTTCAGTGGTTTGTAGACCCAGACAAATAGTTCAGCAGTTTTGATCGTGTTCCTGGGGGTGGGTGCGAGGCTGAAGCCCAGATCTCAGCAGGCCTGAGTGGTCTATGAGACCTGGGGACAAATGATGTTAAGAAAAATATAAATAGCAAGAAAGAGGTTGATTTTATTCTTTTCACTTTTGTTTTAGGTCCCTTTTATTGCTTCTTTTTCTCCCATCCGTCTTATATTCAAAGGTGGAGCAAAATTCCTCAAACCCAATAACTGCATCAGCTTGCTATTAATAATACCCAGATTTTATTGCCATATCCCTTCGATCTGGTGATTCCCAGGCCACATGCCATGTACAGTTTCCTCCCAGTGATATTTAGCTGAGAGTTTCTCCTCTCGCCGTGACAGATGGGTGATGCTCAGCTGCTGCCAGGCTGAGCGGATCCATATTAATTTTTCATTTGCTGGCCGGGTCCTGGAGCAGGACAGATGGCCTGTTGGTCACTCCCGGTCCGTGCTGGTGTCCAGCTGCTCTGCACTTGATATATGAGTGGACAGAGTGGACGCTGGAGCCTTCAGCTTGCGCTGGCCAGGGCTGAAGCCATTTCCCCTGGGGGTGGGGAGAGGGCACGGTGGGAGTTAGCCTAAATCCTTTTACCATATGTACATTGACCCTGCTCTGATTGCAATACCATCCTTTGCTTTGTCGGCACCGGTTAGGAGGGGACCGGGAATGTGGTGGACAAAGAGCCACAGCTCCCCGATGGATTTGCCAAACAACCCAAATTCACCTTGGAAAACTTGATGTTTGCACCCTGGCAGCATGCCACGGAATCAGCTGCCCAGTGTCGGGCTGCAGGGGAGGGCTGGGGGGTTTAAACGTCTCACCCTTCACAAATGCTGCTATCACGTCCATGTGTGGTTTTGTGCTCTCCTGGCCCTGGTCCTGCCTTTGGGACCGGCTTTGCCACCGGTGTAAATTGCTGCCGGGCTGTTCTGCCTATTCTGAACCCGCTGTGTAGGGATTCACTTGGGATGAGCGGTATCTAGCTTAAATGTTTGTACCGACATGCAGAAATGTTGCTATAATCTGCAGCATTAACGCGAAAACATTTCAGAAATGTTGCCACAACCCTCAGGTCCACAGTGAGTGTAAGTGGAGTATCTGCATGAGTTATAATTCTGATTTATAGCTGCGATTTGACTTGTGGTAATGCCGTTACACTTTGCCTACACTGCTTTTAGGAGGCAGGGCTGAACCCCAGCCCAGGATGAGCTCCTGGCAGCAGAAGCTGAAGATCATCAGGAAATGCCTCATTAAAAAAAAAAAAAAGTCATCCCCCTGCCTCCCGTTCCCTGGGCAGACTTGGGAGAGTCTCTTCTCTCCTCCTGCATTTTTTTCCCGGGCTTGCCTTTAGCCTTGAAGACATCGCTGTGGCTGCTGCAAGACCTGCAGCATCTCCACAGGGATGCAGGCACCTCTGGGTGCCACGAATGCAGCTGCGGTGGCAAAGCTGCCGGTGCAGGAGTTGCACTGATGTGAGGCTGCATTCCTGTTGTGGGTGCTTGGGTCCAGGTCCGTGTCTGGACCCACCGTCAGGTGCTGGTGGCAAAGTCCAGCACAGAAGATCCATCACTCACAACACCCCTGACAGGAGAAGGAGATGTTAGCAGGGCTTGTGAGGGCTGTGGGGACCACTTGGTGAAGGCTGGGCTGTGAAAGGAGACTCTCAGCATCCAGGTTTGCTCTTTCTTGGCCCAAAGTTTGCACATCAGAGAATTAAAAAGCTGGGAATTTGGGCAGACCCTGGAACCGGGACAGCTCTCCTTGCCTGGCAAGCCGATGGCATCAGGCTGCGCTGCTGTGGGTAATTGCAGGGATAATGAAACTGCTTGACGTCTTTTGAAGAAGGCATAAATCCTCCAAGCTGGCAGCTCTGCAGAAAAACGAGCTGTCAGCGTTTAAACCAGCAAGACAGCGGCGGTACGAGCAAAGCATTGCCGAGGCGGCTCATCGGCTCGTTCCTGCACTGGGGGCCGAAGGGTGTCATCGTCTGCTCCCTCCCAAGGGCTGGGATGCTGGAGGGCCATCCAAGGGGACGTGGAGACATGTCCAGCACCTGCCCTGCGGGGCTGCAGGTCACTGCCATGCTCCTGCGTGCCACGTCTGGGGTGACCTCCTGTGGGGTCCCGGGTGCTGGGCTGGATTTAAACCCTGGCTTTAGTGCACCCTCAGCTTGAGCATGTTTGCTCTTGCGCGCTCCCCACTCCTTCTTTGCCCTCCGAATTTATTCGAGCCCTCTCCCGATCCCCCGAGGGATGCTGGATTGCAGCAGCCACCAGCATGTGCTGCCTGCGGGTCATCTCCCCATTCACCTGCGTAGGTTCTCCCATAAGTTTTTCTGCACCAGCATTAGCGGTGGGTGCATGTATGTGGGGACAGGACATGAACACGTGTACATGTGTGCGTGCGTAGGCAGCATGCTCTGCGTACGAGGGCTGGGGATGAGATATCTGTGCTCCAACAAAGGCGGCCTGCGCCGGGATGCTTTTCCTGGCGGGGGTGAGGGGGGGGGTGGGAACAAAAGCCCAGTTCAGAGTCGCTGCTGAATAGATTAACAAGATTTCCATAATTAGGGCGGGCGGGAACAATAGGATTCTCCCCTGCCCAGCCCCCCCTGCCCGCCTTTGTCTTGCGCTGGGGATAATGGGCAGCAGCGAGGGTGGGAACCGGCCCGGCCATTTGGTCACTGGACAGTAATTTTCTCACACTGCCAAGGGGAGCATTGAAACATCTGTCCCGCTCCGCCGCCTCATTCACGTCCCATTTCAAACCCCTGACAACTTCTCCCTGCCCGCTGGCCCTCCCCCTCCGCCTGGTTTTCCAGGGTGCGATGGGGCTTTCCGGGGGTTTTGGCTTTTCTTCTCCCAAACGCAGCTCGTCTTTAAAGAGGGCGGATGGAGGTGGGTTTGCTTCTCCATCCAG